CTACTGTTATGAATCATAATGTAAATATCTTTTTGTTTACCAATGGTCTTAGGCGGCCCCTGTAAAAGGGTCATTCAACCCCCAAAGGGGTCGAGACCCACAGGTTGAGAACCGCTGTGGTTCTCTAGACTCTAGGCGGTGGTGTGCTGTAGGTGGCTCACAGAGCTGATTATGTGCATCTTTTTCACCCCTGTGTCTAGTGACATCATGCTGGAACTTGAAATCTACCACAGTGGGGGAGTGTATACCATGGAAATTGGCAAACACTACACATCATAGCTTATATTTTTTTCTTCCAGAATGCTGGTTTACTAGCATAGCACTGGGTTTAGGAAACCAACAGTTAATTACTTATGTCTAAGTGAGATGTTACAAGGCAAGTTGCTTTTATTAATTGCTTAGTTTATTTTTAGAAAATCATGATGCAGACAGCTTGCATCTATCCAGCAAAATCTGCTTCCCAGCTAGCTACTGTAGTTCCTGAGGTTAATTTTCTTGGGTCTTGAAGAGATTTTTCTAAGTCCCAAAGTAATTCCACTAAAATGCAGGTGGTAACCCTCTGCGTTCTTGGCTAGCTCCCCACTCAAATATGGTGAACAGAGGTGGCGTGGGGAAGGGAGTCCCAGGAAGAGCACAGAAGGCCCTGAAAGAGAAAGTTGGGTTGTATCAGGGAGGAAATCTACAGTTTGGTATTTGTGTGCTTTCTGCTTGGCCAGATGAAGTACAATCTCCTCCTTCTGCCCTCTTTTCTTCCTCATTTTCTGACATCCTTTTTGCGTCTTGTCCTAGGCTAGCGATAGTCTTTTTCCAAACTCGATGTGAATTTCTCTCTAGCTCCTGGTTTTGCTGATCCAGCACAGCAGGCGATGGTGTTTGCAGAAGGACTCTTGGTTCCTGTCTCTGTTCTGGATTCTTTCAATACTTTGTGGCACGTTCCAATTTCAAACTCTGATCCGGATGCTCTTAAAGGTAAGGAGGACAGGGAGGGTGACATGAGGAAAAACTGTAGGGCAACTTCTAAGTCGGAGCCAATGGCATAAAATTAGTTGAGCTCCAGGATAGACCTGTATTTAGGGGATTTGATATAGGCTTTAATCACAAGTTTAGACTTAAATTGGATGAAAGGCTCATTTTCTCTGTTTTTTTTTCCCCCCTCATAGGACAGCAATTCCAATCTGGCTTACTCGTGCCTGTTCTTCATCTGCTATGCATTCCAAATCCTGATCTTGATCCTTTCAGCATTTTCCGAAAAAGATGACTCGTCAAATGTGAGACTCTAAATATACCTCCCTAATAGATTACTTAATTGGATGGCACATTGACAANGTTTGGCTTGGAGTCATCTTAAGATGACATAGCTGCAATCATTTGCAATATTAACTTTAAAGGTTAACTTTATTAACCTTTATTAATTTTAAAGGGTGAAGGCTGGGACTAATGACCAAAGAAAGGTAATAGTACCAACCCCATGTGGGGGTCAGAAATCACCCTTTTAAAGCTATTTTATTAGTTACCTATTTGCTGTGTAAGAAATTACACCCAAACTTAGCTGTTTAAAAATAAATAGTTTTTATCTCGTAGTTTCCTGCGTCAGGAATTTGGGAGCAGCTTATCTGGGTTTTGCTTCAGGATCTCTCATGAATGGGGTTATAGTTAATATGCTGGGATGAAGGTCATCTGGAGTTTTGATTGTGGCTAGAGGATCTGACTCTAAGATGACTCACTCACATCGTTGCTGGCAGGAGGACCTTACCATCGTTCCTCACCAAGAGGACCTCTCCACAGAGCTACTTAAGTGTCCTCATGATGGGGCTGGTGGCTTTCCCTGCAGTGAGTGATCTAAGACAGAGAACAAGGAGGAAGCCACGTTGTTTTCTGTGACCTAGTCTTGGAAGCCACACACTGTCACTTCCACCATGTCCTATTCATTAGAAGCATGTCACTAAGTTCAGCCCACACTCAAAGAAGGGGAAAGTAAGCTCTGCTTTTCCAAAGCAAGCATATTAAAAGATTTGTGGATATATTTTAAAACCAGCGCACTCAACGTTCCTCTGAAACACTTATCATAGCATACCTTGGACTTTATCCTGTTGCTTCAACTACATGTATCCATTCATGCCTGGAATATTTATTGAGTGTGTTATTTGCATCACTGCATACCGTTTTTACCATGGATTACTGGAAACCATTTTATTCTAAAGAATTATGTCCTCCTAACTGTGGCCTTTTTTCTTTCTCAGGTGCTTGTTGGGTTTCTTCTTATTCTAGCAGCCATAGAGCTGGCCCTTGTACTCACAGAAGACACTGGACAAACCACAGTCCCTGCCATTCGATATACTAATCCAAGCCTCTACCTGGGCACATGGGTAAGGCCCATCACCACTTCTGCCCTGTTTATCTTCTCTCTGCTCATAGTCATCTAGCTGAAATTTACTTTTTTAGAATGAAATCCAGTCTAATTTCATCTACCTTTTTCAAGGACCTATGATGAGACAAAGCTTGATTATAATGGGGGTGAGACAAATTTTAGCTTTTTATCTTCTTTTGAACACTAGTTTATAAAGCCATTTCCCTAGGGTAAGTACTAACCTTAATGATTAAGATATGTATCTTATGCCCTCATAGCTTGCCACCTAAAGATCATATGTGAAATTCAAGTTTCTTGATATAAAAGAATTTTCTTAAATGTAAATATTATTTTTAAATTGGTTGACTGTAGACTCTAATCAATAGATCACTGAGCCTAGAAGTGTTCGCATAAACTTGATGACAGAAACTGATGTTTCTTCTGTAAGCATGTGTCTTGGNCCTTTGCCCATTTTTTAAGTTGGGTTATTTGTGTCTTTTTATTGTTGAGTTGTATATAGTTCTTTATCTTCCAAGTCTGTGTATCTCTTTGATCAACAAGGAAAACCTTTCCCAGAAGCCCCCACAAGCTAGTTCTCACAAGCTGTCTCCCCATTTCTCTTTGGTCAGAATTGTATCACATGTCCATGGCTTATGTGTCACAGGCCAGGGGAATGGGACCATCATGACTGGCTTTAATTCATCTCATGGCGTTGGAAATAGGTCCGGTTTCCACCCAAGCATATGGCTGAGTTGAGTAGCATAGATATTTTACAAAGCGGGGAGGGGGGTTCTGTTAGGGGGAAAAGAATGGCTTTGAGGAGGCAGCTCTACAGTCAGGGTCCCAACAGGAAACAGATAGCTGAAGCAAACAGGATAATATGAGGAGGTTGTATTTACAAAGGGGCCTGGAGCTTAGCAGCAAAGTGTTACCACTCTAGGCTTGAAAGGACAAGAGTGGAGAGACAATCTGGTGGGACAGACAGAAGATACCAGCACCGCAGCCAGTAATGTCTATCTCAGGCCCCCCTTCACTGCTGCTTTTTCTTGTGTGTGTTTTGGGCCATGATTTTCTCTGCTTTTACCTGTCACTATTGACACATTTGCTTTTTGTCTTCTAAAACTTATCTGGATTACTGAGTTCACTCTTCTTCATTCATATTCTCAGTGCTATTATGGATTTATTTCTTGGGTACTTTACCATCATTTCAGTGGGATGGGGAAGGATAGGAGATAAACAAGGGTACTAAGCCTGTTATCTTGGACTGGAAACTCCTGTCTTTTTCTATGAATATTTTTAAAACATAATTGAACTCATTGTATGTGTAATTTTGTAGTCTACTTTTCTTTTTTACTTGAGATGATATAAAGCATTCCCAGTGTTAGCATTAGTCTTAAACATGATTTTGATGACTACAAAATCATTCATCACATGAGTATACCATAACTTATTTTAACTACTCTGACAACATTAACTCCTCCCAACAAACTTCTCCACCACTGTTTTGGGATATTTTAGGTTTTATAAATTCTTTACTATTAAAAATGAGACTCCAGTTAACATTCTTGTGAATACATTTTTGTCTGTAATTCATATTATTTCCTCGGAATAGATTTCTAGAAGTAGAATTACTGTATGGAAGTATATGAACAGTTTAAGGCTTTTGAAACATACTGGAAACTTTTTATAATTTAGCAAGTTTTTTGCCAATTTATAGTATCACCAAAAGTACATTAAAATGCATTCCTCTGCACTCTTGTTAGCATTGTGTCTTATATTTTTCTTTAATTTTGTATGCAAAAATGTCACCCTATTGTTTTACTTTACATTTCTATAAGTACTAATGCAATAGATTATTTTAAAATTTGTTAAGAATATTTCTTCATTTGTGACTTGTCTGTTCACATCACTTGCTCATTTTTTTAAATAGAGGTTTTAGTGTATTTAACTTTATATCTTTTTAATAGATAATTTACAGAGGATTACAAAATTTAAAAGGTACAAAAGGGTACATGATACTCTAGTCACTCATTCCTGTTTGAGTTGGCAATCATCAATACCAGTTCCAGAGATAAACAACTCATGCTTATACAAATACCTACCTACATACATAAACAACTCACGCTTGTACAAGTACCTACCTATATATGAGTATATTTTTTTCACACATATGCTCATGTCTTATGTACGTTCCCTGTGTCTTAGAGATCCTTCCATTTTTAGCACATAAATATCTGCTTCTTTCTTTTTATTGACTACTTGAATCACTGTTATTTGGATGTACCATAAATTATGTGCCTAAATGATAGAAATTTATGTGTTTTCTAACCTTCTGCCATCATAAGCAATGCTGCAATAAATAGCTTTGTACATATGAGTGTGTCTAGCAGGTAAACTCCTAGAAATGAAATTACTGGGTTAAGGATATGTGGCCTCAAAATTTTTATAGATAGTATAAATTCCCCTCCATCAAGATTTTTCCACAGTCTCACCAACTTTTTATTATCAAACTTTTTGATATTTGCTAGTCGGTTAAGTGAAAAATTGTATGTCGTAATTTGAAATTGCACTCTCATATTATTAGTGTTAAACATCGTTTGTTTTTTTTAAGATTTTATT